TAAGACTCCTGTTGACGTCAATTGTCTTTGAGTACTTAGATGTGTTTTTGTTATCAAAACTTGATTATTAACTGCAAGTGCATAGATCCACAAAATGGTCATTAGTTGTAACTATGTGCTCATGATAAAACCAGCAGTAACCAAAAAAAAGGGAAAAGTTAAAGGCTCATCTTATAGCAAAAGGTACTCAAAACAGAAGAGGATTGACTATGATGATATTTTTCTCTGATTGTTAAACGTAATTCTATCATAGTCATGTTAGCCTTGGTAGTCGCCCAAGACATGCATTTAGAGTAGATGGGTGTGAAGAAAAATATTTCTTCACGATAATCTAGATAAACAAGTTTACATGGAGCCGCCAAAAGGATTCAGTAACACTAGACATGACATACTAGTTTGTAAATTAAAGAGGTTTTTATATAACTTAAAGTATTCTCCAAAGCAATGGTACAAGCGTTTTAATTCATGCGTGCTTTAAATTGACTACAAAAGATGTGAGTATAATTAGTGTGTATATGCTATGAACCTTGATTATCACTCTTTTATATTTTTTGTTACTGTATATTGATTATATGTTGATTGGTGTTAATCATTTACATAGTGTGAATGAGCTGAAAAACATGTTGGGAAAGAAGTTTGACATGAAAGACTCAGGTGATGCAAAACAAAATTCTTAGTATGAAAATTCACTGTGATGTGAGTGCTATAATGTTATGGCTCTCTCAGAAAAGTTATATTAAAAAGGTACTAGACAAGTTTGACATGAGTAATTCGAAGGTTGAGAAAACTTTACAGGAAAATCATTTTAAGCTCTCATTAAATATGTGTCTAAAGACGTGCAAAGGTCGAGTATATGTCAAAGATTCCTTATGCCAATGTTGTTGGTAGTTTAATGTATGATATGGTGTGCACTAGACCAGATTTGGCACAAGTTGTAAGTCAAATTTGTAAGTTTGTGCCCAAACCAGGAAAACGTCATTGGGAAGCAGTAAAGTAGATTTTTGAGTACTCGAAGGGTACAACGGATCATAGTATCATGTCTAATCGAGAACAAAGTAATCTTTCGATTGTAGGATATGTTGATTATGACTATGATGGTGATAGGGATAATATAAAGTCTACAATAGGGTATGTCTTTACTTTAGCAAGAGAACCTATTTGTTGAAAATCATTGATTCAATCCATAGTGACCATGTTAATAAGTGAAGCAGAGTCATGGCGGCAAGTGAAGTTGCTAAAGAAGTCGTATCGCGTACGAGATTTGTGAGAGAATTAGGTGTTGAGCAAGGTGAAATTTGGTTGCATTTGGATAATTAGAGTTTCATTTTTTTGACAAACAATTAAGTATACCTTACCAAGACCAATCATATTGATGTGATGTTTCACGAGATTCATGAGTTACTTGCATCTCCACGACTATTATATGAAAAGTTTCATATTTTAGAGAATGCAGTTGATATATTGACTAAGTCAGTCATCAGTAACAAGTTCAAGTATTGCTTAAACTTGTTATATGTTTCTCAGTGTTAAGTAAGAGGTGTGTCTTCTCAATTACTAGAATGTGTTCGTTTTGTAAGAAATCTTTATAAGAGTTTGATATTCGTCAAAGTGGAGATTATTAAATCTGACTCATATTATAGCAATTATTATGATTATTGTTGAATATAGCTCATATTATAGAAATTATTATATGAATTATTAAATAATACACGTATTGTAGAGATTATTATAGATAAGTAACTGACAGTCGTGTGAATTTCGAAAGTATTATTTTAAATTGAATCTAATATTATATATTGGTTGTAACATCTTAACTCTAACTAACTTTAATTTCTTTTTTAATCTTCTAAATAAATCAACACTAGAAGTACAAATAAATATGTATCCAAATATCAAGTACTACTACATGTTTTCTATCTATAAACTAGTGGAGAGGAAAATGGTGTTGTTTCCTAGTATATCGTACGATAATGCAGTGAATAATCCAGTTATGGTTTTGGTTTAACGATTCTAATTTTTAACGAACTCAACAGTTCTGGATTATTTTTAATGTTCTAAAGTCACATTTACTTTGGAAAGAACAATTCAATTTAATACTATGAAGTTGAGTTAACTAGGATGGTCCATAGTGCTTTAAATATGGTTATGAGTGACAACACTGTAGATTTAACTGAAGCCATTTTTACTAAAAGCCTCACACTCTTTCATGAGGGCTTCTATTAAAGGTAGCAAATAACATCATTTTCATAAAGTTATACCAAAAATAATTGAAATATGATGACCTTTTAATATGAATACATCACAGAGATATTTTTTGAAAAGATAATATATAATCTCAATATATATTATATTTAAAATAATTTTAATTTTATAAATCGGTTTTATAAAGTTAAATAGACTCAAATAATTTTTTTATTATATTTGAATTTTATTTAAATTTTGATAGATAATTTATTACGTTTTTATTATCGAATTATTTATTATTTATTTTCAATCTTAAACGTGAGAAAATATATTAAAAGTATTACATTACAATATATAATCTAAATATATGTTTATAAGTGTGTACAATTTTAATTTCATAAATCAATTTTATATTTAAGTTAATCACATTTTTAACACCTAAATTAAAAAATAAAAATATTTAAATAAATTATCAAATAATTTATAATTATATATTGAAAAAAAATTATTTTGTAAATTCTCATAAGATAAAGAGATGATTAATAATTTTTATTTCTTGTACTACATTGTCAGAAGCACTGTTTTAGAAATCAGATTGAATAGGTCAGTCAGATCTGATTGTTGAACTAAATATACTATTAGACCGGTGAGAATTTGACAAAACCGATCAAAATTGAAAAAATTTATAAATTTGCAGTTCAAATGCATTTTTTTTCTGACAAAACAATATTGTTTTAATAAATAAAAAATTTAAATAAAATATAACTATATTAAATTATAATATGAGGATTTATTTAGAATAACTTTTTTAAATAAATAGATTTGATTCGAAATTTATTTAAATTTATATTTTATATTATTTTGTTGTGAATGGTGATTATTAAAATTTGAATTTAAAGAATTTATATTTGAAATTATGATATTTTAAAATTTTATAAATATTATGATATTTTTTAAATACTAAATTATTCGATTTAATCAATTTAATAAATATATAATTTTATTATAAATATTATTTTATTTAATTGAATTATTTAATTTAATTTAATTTAATTATGTGATTCGATCGGAAATTTAATATTGGTCAGAAGATATTACTCACATCACATGACATGGGGATGCTATGCTGCTGCTAGCTATGATTTCTTTAGAAGCATTCAAATTGAAATAAAAAACAAAACGACAAAACGGATAATAAATCAATACTATATATCAACTGGACGATGTCTACTATTTAAAGGAATCAGAATAATTAATTTTCTAAAAATTAAATTCAATACATATATTATTTGCATATTCATTTCATTTGGTTAGAACAAACAACATGGTGATCATGACAAGTGATTAGTTGACCAGAGTTTTAATTTAGATTAAATATTAACTTAGGAATTTTTCAACTGAAATAAGTATTTAAATCTTTAATTTATTGAATAAATTTTATTTTTCTAAAAAAATTAAATAACTTTAACCCAAATTAACAAAAACGAGCAGAAAAATACTTACATTAAAGTGTATATGATTTCTCAAAAAAAAATTATAATATAAAATTTGTCTACAATAAATTTAATTTTCCACTTTCAAAATTAAAGAAGAAAACTTAAATGCATTTCTTTATGTATAATTTATACTTTTTTTAATGAAAATGTAATAAGTATATGATTTTCTATTTTATTTATCATATTTTTATTGAAGAAATATGTAAATCACATCTATGAAATTGTATTTAAATATTCTCCTAAAATTAATATAATAATAAATTTTAATTTTAATTATTTTTAAATAAAAAGGCTAATAGTGTTTATTGGAGTGCTTCTCTCAAAACAAATATTCATCTAACTACTAGCTAGGAAATAACAATTTTTTTTTAAAGGAATGACAATATTTAACTTATCTCTTTTCCTGAAATATTTTAAGGAATAGTAGGGAAAATAAATATTACTAAAAGCCATAGACAAAAAGTCAATAGACAAAAAAAAAAAATTCAATTAAATTTTGCACTCCGAGGCAAGATCCATATGCAGTGGTGGTTTTTATTCACACTGTAAATATTCTATGTAGTATAAATAGTACTACTACTAATAATAATCAAAAGATTCAAAACAAATATAACACGTTATCTACATAAGCATGTGCAATTAATTAATTTTCCAACTCAGTCTCCTCCAAATATGAATAATTAATTACAATGTTATACTAAAAACGTGAAAAATTAACGAATCTTTGTTAAAAAATTCAATTAAGAAACATTAAGTTAGGTTAAGAGTCCATTTTCATGTTAGAAGAAACTTGAATTAAATTTAATTGATGAAAATGACACTTAAAATTCCACTGCAACTTTCTTCCCTAAAATAATCAATGAGTTCTGTTCTGTGTGATGTGACAAATCAAATGATATATTAATCATTGAATATGAAAGTGTATAAACATAACAATATAGCCAATTCATATAGTTGGAGTCATTAATGTTATGTGAAATGTAAAAATAAAATGAAATGTTTTTCATGTCTAAACATAGGTTCTGCATAATATATGTATTGTACATTTATGGTCAGAGTCAACAACAGTATTAAAGAGGAAGAAGTTGTCATTTTCCATGATTAATGAGTGGTTCTTATCAACTGCATAAGTTATGCAGAAAATCAGAAACTGTTTTTATAAGAATATTGCAGATTTCATGAAAATAAACTGAAAAATAATTTATAAACATATATTATCATCTATTGTTTTTATATGCTCTTACAAATAATTACATGAGTGTTTATGTTATAGGATAAACTCAAATAATTTCAAGACAAGTTAGAACCACAAGTTTACAGCTAAAACTTTTCAACATCCTCTTTTGGTCTTGTAATAGGGATGGACCATCTCCCCAAATGGGCAGTGTAATTTATGCACCTGATTACGCCTCTTCCCTTAGGTCCATCGGGGAAGTCGAGGACGCTAACACTCCCTGCATCGAGATGAAATGATCCCAGCCATTCCTTGGTCAAGTTAAGGCAGTGCGCCATTAGTCCTATGTGAATCGCAGGATGACAGACTGCAACTACAACTTCTCCTGACTTAGATTCATCAGATATTTCATCGAGCAGGGATTGCCAGGCTTTTCCAGATCGATCCCATAATGTTGTTCTCGAGTCATCTTCGACTTTATTTAACCATCCAGGCTGAAATCGAGGGAAACTCGATTCATCCTGCAAAAATGCACACATAAACTGTTCACCAAGCTTTTATTATTTACGAACTGGGCGACTAGAGAAAAATGGAACTGCGACTAAAATAGTGAATCCAATTGAGATTCAAACAGTGGCTATCGACACTAAGTTTGGGTAGTGATTCACTAAAAGGAATAATAGTTCACCATAGTGAATCGGAATTCATCATAATAAATCTTCCTTCTACATTTCAATATTGTTAAAGAATTCTTTTATCTACATACTAAATCTTCTATTGATATTTGGCAAGTTTTTATGATCATTGTTTGTTCAAGATCATTCTAGTACATGAAATAATTCATTAATTAATAGTAGTCTTCAATGTCATTCCTAAAATCAAATAGTTTGCAAGTGACAAATCATGTTTCCAGTCATATAAAACACATCTAAACTGTAATTTACTTGCCATTTTGGATTGTTTAAAGATAGTTTTAATATTAAGGTTCTCCATCTGCTTCATCTCAACATAGCGTGGCACAGAGTCAGCACCCAAGCAATCTGCAGCTTCTTGTACCTAAAATCATGCCTAACGGTTTAATTAGACTATAACATTAATGAATAGTAATAGAAAATCGAAATTCACAAGTTCAAACCGGCCGCAATATAAAGATTTTAAAGATCTCTGCAACAACATCGCAACTGCCGCATCAAGTGCATTTGTCCGTATTTAACCGTGCTAATTAATATTTGCAGCATAATCACAACCATGATTTAAACCATGCTTGCAACTAATAGCTTGACAACCAAGAATTTAGCATGATTGAACAAAGTGAAAAGTACCGAAACTGAGCGTACCTGGGAAATGGCCACGGCTGTCTCAATACAAGATTTGTTAGGACTGCTAACTATGGAACTCACTTTCAAATCAAGGAGTAGCTCTGCAGATTTCTGAGACTGTTATACATGAAAAAGGTCAGATGAGATAAACTCTTCAATCCCCACTTAACTACTGATAAATGGGTCAATACCTGAATAACACCAAGCATGTTCAATGGTAGATCAGCAGAAAAAATAAAACCGTCCTGTTACGATAAGGTAGTTTGATTAGAAACCTAGCGTGAGGAACTGCATTTGAAATAAACTTATAGAAACTTTCTGTCATGAGATGAATCAACTATTCCAAAAATTTACGCCGTTCGGTGAAAGCACGTGAATGGTTATTATCTAATATACCATAAGAAGCTTGAACATATAGTACAATATAAGTACAATACGACATGGATAAGGGGAATTTTATAAGATTAAGATACGACATAACTCAAATATGTGGACAAAACTTGTTCATAAATGCACAGTGTTTGTAAAGAGGCATTCACATTGCTAATTAAACAAAAACATATCAATAGCCACTATATGATGATCCAGTTGTGCACTTTGATGATCACAATAAGTAGGCATAGCGGTGTTTGTTTTCAAGTTTGCAATCTTTTCACCATGTGTTAACATGAAGCTTCTAGTTGTTCCTTCGCAATAAGTGTGCATTTTAAAGTCCAATTGACCATGGTTCCAAACACACTTATGGTTACATATCTCTCCCCCACCTATATCAGAATAAACTCTTTCTACTACACATTGTCATAAAAACATACAATTTTTTGTCTGCAGATACTATGATGCAGCAAAGATGTATCGTACCTAAATGACAATTATGTTTTTAATAGGTAAGAAGTATCATATACGTAACTGAGATGTATTGGTGGAAATATTTTTACAGAATTTATTCCATACTTTTCAGGTACATATCTGGAAGTATCGGACATGTTTTGAAATTGGATGCATATCATGTCAGACTCTGACGCTGTCATTTTTGAAGTATCAGGGCTTGATAGCATACCTTGTCACACTAGCCATTCAAGATCAAAGTGTGGATAATTCATTGGCCTTGTGCTAAATATAAAAATATTACTTGGAAGAATTGTTAGTTGTATAATTCTTGTTTAGATATATCTGGACATCTTGCCTATATAAAGGGTCATTATGTTTGTCATAAAAAAAGGAAGAAATAATACATTCAGTTAGAGAGTTAGTTACGCTTAACTAACTCACAATTTCTCTCTCTTCTCTTCCTCTCCTTGTTTTCACAAAATCATTTTTCTTGAATCCTTTTGTTCCAACAAATTGGTATCAAGAGCTTGTTTGCCATTCAGAGAAAATCTAATGGCAAACGGATCAACAACATCAACACAGTTTCCAGCGAATCTACAGGTTTTCAAAGGTGAAAACTATCAACGGTGGGTTGTGCAAATGAAGGTTATTTTCAGATTTCAAGATGTCGTAGAAATCTTGAATGATGGAATATCAGAATTGGAAGTAGATACTACGGAAGTCCAGAAAGCTGCGCATGAAGTTTAGAGGAAGAAAGATGACAAGGCGTTGTTCTTGATTCACCAGTGTGTGGATTGTGACGTATTCGAGAAGATAATTGAAGAAGAAACAACAAAAGGAGCTTGAGAAAAACTGAAATCCTTGTATGGTGGAGATGAGAAACTGAAGAAGGTGAAGTTACAGACACTGAGGAAGCAGTACGAGATGCTTCAGATGAAAGAGGATGAATCTATTTCTGCATATTTTTCAAGAGTTGTGGCGCTAACAAACCAGATGAAGGCATGTGGTGAAGCGTGTACGGATCTGCAAAAGATAGAAAGGGTATTGAGATCTTTAATTACAGACTTTGATTACTTTGTTGTGACAATTGAAGAGGCCAAGAATCTATCTGAGATGAAGTTGGAAGAACTTCAAGCTTCATTGGAGACTCGCGAAATGAGGCTGCAGCAGAGAAACTCAAAGAGAGAAGGCAGCTGAACAAGCATTGCAATCAAGATTCAGCAAGAAAACTGGAAAAGAGAAGTCGAAGCAGCGAAAGAATCTTGCAGGTGATGAGAAGTCAAGCAAGAATACTGACTCGAAAGGTGTGGGAAACAAGTATTCTGGGAAGAAAGTTGACACGAAAGAGGTACAATGTTACATTGTCAAGGTTTTGGCCACTATGCTAGAGACTGTCGAAGAAAGAAAGCTGTGAGGTCCAAAGATAGTGATGAAGCTCAATATGCACGAGTTGGAGATAGTGATTCTGATGATGTGTTGTTGCTGGTGAACACTCAGTCGACTACTGAGAAAAACAACATGTGGTATCTGGATTCAGGATGTAGCAACCACTTGACTGGCAATAAAAACTGGTTTACCAAGTTAGATTAATCAACCGAAAAGGTGATAAAGTTTGCAGATGGCAGGCATATCAAATCAGGTGGTAAAGGAGATATTTTCGATTATCAGAAAGGATGATCGAAAGGCTACTATCCTTGAAGTTCTATATGTACCTTCGATGACAAGTAACTCGATAAGTGTAGGTCAATTACTTGCAAAAGGTTTCAATATGAAGTTGGAGAATAATCAGATGAAGGTATATAGGGCTGATAGGAGGCTAATAATGAAAGCACCATTGGCGGAGAACAAAACGTTCAAGATTGAACTCAACACATTAGATCACAAATGTCTTGCTTCGACTACAGAAGAAGACAAGAACTGACTATGGCATCACAGTTATGGATATCTAAACTTCAAGAGTTTATGTATGCTCAATAAGAAAAGAATGGTGCTTGGGTTGCCGTATGTGAAGGAACCAAAGCAGATATGTGAGGAATGCTGCAAAGCTAAACAGGCAAGGAAGGCGTTCAAACGTGACTTGCCTATAAGATCAAGGCAAAAACTGGAGCTGGTTCATTCAAATGTGTGTGGACCCTTTGAAGTAAAGTCGAATGCGGGTAACAGGTATTTCCTTACTTTCATTGATGAATTCACCAGACATATGTGGATTTACCTTATTAAAAGGAAAAGTGAGGTATTCACACAGTTCAAGAAGTTCAAGTTGCATGCTGAGAAACAAAGTGGCTGCAAATTGAAGAAGTTAAGAACTGATGGTGGTGGTGAATATACTTCTGCTGAATTTTACTAGATTTTGCAATGAGGAAGGTATAGAGCATGAGGTTATTGCACCCTATACGCCTCAGCATAATGGCATAGCTGAGAGAAAGAATAGAAGTGTACTGAACATGACGAGATGTATGTTGAAAGCTAAGAATATGCCTAAGAGATTTTGGGCTGAAGCAGCTTGGACAGCAGTATAAATTCTAAATAGATGCCCAACGAAGAAGATGGTCGAAAAGACACCGCATGAGGCTTGGACAGGATCGAAGTCAAATGTAAGTCATCTTAGAGTTTTTGGATCAATATGTTTCAGACATGTACCTGAACAATTGAGAAAGAAGTTGGATGATCGAAGTGAAGTCATGATACTCATAGGTTATCATTCGACTGGTGCATACAAGTTGTATTTACCAATCGAAGATAAACTAGTGATTAGTAGAGATGTTCTTGTAGACGAAAGCAAAGGGTGGGATTGGAGTCGAAGTTCAGTTCGACAAGAATCAGACACAGTCACAACTGTATTCGAAGAGGATGAACAGAACGAAGCTTCGACAAGTCGAAATGAATAAGGTGATACTTTGACTGGTCGAAATGAAGAACCACCTGTGCAGAATGAAAGAAGATCCACAAGAACAAGAACTGAGTCGACTAGGCTGATTGGATATGAGAGGTTTCCAGATCAAGCAATCGATGGAGATGGTGACTTAATCGAAGAAGCCATGATGATGGTTGAAGCAGAACCAATTGATTTGGGCGAAGCCTTGAGCAATTCGAATTGGTGTGAAGTCATGAAGGAAGAACTTAGAGCCATTGAAAAGAACAAGACTTGGGAGCTTGTCGAAAGAACCAACAAGAAACCAATCAATGTGAAATGGATCTACAAGGTGAAACGAAGGCAAAATGGTGAGATTGTAAAGTATAAGACAAGACTGGTGGCCAGAGGTTTTCTACAAAAATCTGGTATTGACTTTGATGAAGTATATGCGCCTGTTGCGAGAATCGAAACAATCAGGATTATTGTTTCGATAGTTGCATGTAGAGGATGGAAAATGCACCAACTTGATGTAAAGTCAGCATTTTTGAATGGTCCATTGGAAGAAGTTTACGTTACCCAACCACCAAGTTTCGACGTCAAAGGGCAGGAGTCGAAAGTTTACAAATTAAGGAAGACTCTCTATGGCTTGAGCAAGCTCCTAGAGCTTGGAATAAAAGGATAGATGGCTTCCTAATCAAAGCAGGCGCAGACGAAGCTGAGATAATGAAGGTAAAGTCAAAGTTAATGCAGGAATTTGAAATGTCTGATTTAGGAAATCTCTCATATTTCCTGGGAATGGAATTCAAAGACATCGAAGAAGGAGTTTTCTTGCATCAAACGAAGTATGCTCAAGATATACTGAAGAGGTTCCATATGAGCAACTGTAAGGCAGTTGTTACTCCATTAGAGACTGGAGCAAAGCTGAAAAAGGAATTGAATGATGAATTTGTAAGTTCGACCTTTTACAAACAAATCATTGGATCCTTGAGATATCTTTGCAATACTAGACCAGATATCTGCCAAAGGTTGAGCAGATTTATGGAGAAGCCTCAAGAATGTCATCTCATCGCAGTAAAGAGGGTGTTGAGATACATAAAGGGAACTATTGATCATGATGTGCTGTTACCAAAGAAATCGAAGAACAGCTCAGATGTCGAAGTTCATGGATACACTGACTTAGACTTCAGTGGAGATCAAGACGAACAGAAGAGTACTGCAGGATACATTTTCATGATCGAAGGAGCTCCAATCTCCTAGAGTTCGAGGAAGCAAAGCATTGTGACTTCGTCATCATGCGAAGCAGAATATGTGGCGGCATCATATGCTGCATGTCAAGCAGCATGGATCGAAATGCTACTTGAAGAACTCAGAATAATGGAATCAAAGATGAAACTATTTGTTGATAACAAGTCAGCTATAAACCTTGCAAATCGTCCAGTGTGTCATGGTCAAAGTAAACACATTGAAAGAAGGTATCGTTTTCTAAGGGATCAAGTCAACAAAGGGAAGCTCGAAATAAAACATTGCAAGACAGAAGTGCAACTAGCTGACATGTTCACCAAACCCCTGAAGAAAGTAAGGTTCGAAGAGTTAAAGAAAGGCATCGGGATGAGAAGTCTCGAGAACATGAATTAAGGGGTGTGTTAGTTGTATAATTCTTGTTCAGATATATTTGGACTTTTAGCATGTGTATTTGGGCCTGGACATCTTGCTTATATAAAAGGTCATTATGTTTGTAATAAAAAAGGGAAGAAATAATACTTTCAGTTAAAGAGTTAGTTACGCTTAACTAACTCACAATTTCTCTCTCTTCTCTTCCTCTCCCTCTTGTTATCACAAAATCATCTTTCTTGAATCATTTTATTCCAACAAGAATGAGGTTGAAAGGGAGCTTTTGTGTAATGATTCAAACTGCTTCTGTGACTCGAACATCACGAGTCTGAGTTGTGGAATCAGCCTCTTGCTAAATTCAAAGTAAGACTGCTTACCATAGACCCATAATAGGTCATATAGCACCAGAATGTCCCTTTTGGAAGAATGGAGGTAATATGGAAATACATGATCAGAGAGGATGTGATAATGTGTCGTAAACCAACAAGTCCAAAATCTTAAGCTACACGTTGAAAGTATATAAATACCTCTTTTTAACGCTTTACAACTCAATTCATATCATAGATCAATGATGAACTTACAAGTCATAAAATACGAATAATGTTGCCTATATTTCCTACTAGCTTCCCACCACTTTAAGACAAAGGAAAAATGTAAACATGGAGAAGCGGTTAAAGAATCTCAACCGCGTAAAACTTCAATTGCATAAACATCCATTGCAACAAACAAGTATTGGATATTAGAATAAATCAATTGAACATGTGGCAAAGCATTTAACACTTCGACTGATATTACTAAGGGACAGCATGCAGGTGCTCTTTGCAACTCGTATAGGAAAGAAATACCTCACAGGACAGAGTATCCCTTGGTGTATCAGCTATAACTTTCACAGAAATGGGAATAAATAAGAAACTCAAAATATTACAGTTTATGAATGCCCTTTTTACCTTTCTATATATGACAATACATTTTATCCATTTCTTTTTACCTCTGTATTTCCTTGTGTAGATCCACTACAAACAAGTATGATCTGCTTGCTTGCCTCTCTACCTCCAGATTTCCCTCGGGCAACAGGTGAACCAGGGGTCTGCGTTGATAATTCGATTCTATTTAAAGGAATGCCTAAACAGTTGTCGACATTGCGAAAATAGGTAAACAATAATTGTTTCAGAAAGAAGGAATAAATAAAACAATCTACAATTGCAGAAATTCCCATCAGCTTATAATCTGAAGCTGTAAAAGGGACAATTAAGCCAAGCTCTACATCCTTAGTTTTAAATTGCAGTCCATGATCGCAGTTGTGGCCCCAACATAACAGTTTTAGAGGTCTCTACAACAGCATGGCAATCATAATTGCGGCTGTCTTTCCCCACAGTATTAAAGTTTGCTGCGTAACAGTAATCGCAACTGCAATTTAAAACCGTGCCTACATCTACATCCAGATTCAACTAGTCAAGCAGATGTACTATATACCTGGTTTAAGCGATTAAGGCAAATGTGGGGAGAGTCTCCCTCCAGTCTTGGAGTGAAGTCCAGCACACTTACACCACAGTTGCTCTGAAGTAAAGTTCTGAAGTACTCTGCCTCCAAACCTGATTGTTCGGAATGGAATTAGACGTGGGAACATTATTCAAATTGACAAAATTTTCAAACCTTTTGATCATTGAAATTTCCTTAGAGGTGGGAAAGGGTACCAATTGCTGTGGCAACAAGAGCCTGATTAACAGCATTGTGCGCAACGACAAGAACAGACCTGCTATCATGAGCTAGAATTTTAGTCCAGCAGTTCCTAGCACGATCCCACAACTCTCTCACAGGATAATGATCATCAATGATGAAATTCACAGGATCCACCTGCCATTGATGAAAAGCCGAACCAAATCTCGCTTTTCCCTCCTTCTTCAACAGACCCTAAAATACAACAATAGCAAAAAAAACAACAATTTTTGTCACACCATGCCATCAATAGTCCTTAAAAAACTACAAACATATTCAATTTAGTTCATTATAGATTAATTCTATGAATTTGATTCACATTCTCAGTAGTTGAACCTTGAACCCTAGACGAACCTTAGACCAATAGTTTACACTCATTTAACTCGACTAACACATAAAGATGAATATGAAAGTTACTTGAAAGGAGTACAAATCAATTTCTCGAAGATGAAACTCGTGAATAATCGGTTGTTGGCGAGGTCCCCAAATGATTTCAGCGGTTTTCTTTGACCGTGCCAAAGGACTAAAAAGTAAAACAAGAAAGAAAGAGAAAGCACAGAATCAGTGACATTCATGAGCAACTAACAAACAACGGAAATACAGAAAAATAAATAGACCTTGCAAAACAAGCGTCGAAGTTATCATCGGCGAGCATTTGGCGGGAAATCTCAGCCTGAGATTTACCTTTGCTGGTAAGAACAGAGAAATCAGAACTACCTTGGATCCTTCCTTCGGCGTTCCACGTGCTCTGTCCATGCCTAACCAAAATCACTCTCTTTCCCGCTTTCAATGGAGGGAACGAAAGCGACTTTCTCGATGATTCCACGTTCTCGCTACTCTGATTGCATCGAACGACGACGTATTTGGGACGTACTGAGGAACAACAAGGTCTTGTTAGTAAAGCCATATCTATATGGCTTAGCTCACTTTTTTCAATTTTTTTGTGTATGGTTGCCGTTGGTTACTTCCCATATTGCTTTGTTTGGAGGGAGATGTCAAGCCATGGATAGCCATAAATTAAAACTTACAGATAATTAATTTCTTATTCATATATTTGTCCCTACTCTTAATAAAATGGATAGTGGAGAGTGAATTTGAATAGCTAATATATTTAATTCGGTATTAAAAAAAGTTTGCAATTAATTGATTTTGAAAAATTACTTTATGCTTAAAATTGAATTAAAAATATTAATGTTTGAATAAATTTTTACACCAACAACATTAAATTTTAATTTAGAAATTATGTTTATATATATTTTATCTTAATCAATTTTAAAAAACATAATTAATTTTATAATAACAATCAAACATGTTAAAATCAATTTTGTGTGTATTTGATTCTACAGTAAAAAAAAATGAGTTGAAAAAAAAATGATTTATATTTGAATTGATTCTTGCAAAACTGACTTGAATGATAAATTGCAATATAAAAATTAGACAGGGATTTTCTAACTTTTTAATGGAAAAGTTAGAAAGAAAATAGATTAAGAGACAGATAAAAAGAAAGATAGAGAAATTAAAGTTGGATGATTCAAACCCATAAAAATCACGTTAAATTCAAAAATTACAAGTTATAGCTTCAATTAAAATCACAACCAATTATACTCCAGTGTAATCAAATGTCAAAAAATTCAAAAATTACAAATCATAGTTTCAAGCATATTATAATTGGTTGCTTTTCCTCGCAGCTGACAGACAACAAGTTTGTTATCTATAATCGAACATCGCTTACATACTTTCCATAATGCTAAGTCTCACATTCTTGATGTTTGTAGTAAAGAGGACCATAGAGAGGCTGGTAGATTTGTTATGTTGCTTGAGATTCTTTGGAAGAGTGTGAATAATGTGGTTTGGCAGGACACTCGTGAGGATGCTATGAAGATGGGGTTGCAAGCATATTATAATTGGCATGATTTGGTTTTTAGCTAAAGAGGATAAGAGCTCTGACACAGGTATTATTCATACAGAGAGTTGGAACTCGTCGGTAGTTGGTCAAGTGAAATATAATGTCGACACGAGGTTTAATAATGGTTGTCAAAAGACTAACAAAATATACAATTCTATGATGTTTTAGAAATAATGAAAAACCCTAAAACTTAAAGACTAACAAAATATACAATTCTATGATGTTTTAGAAATAATGAAAAACCCTAAAACTTAAAGACTAACAAAATATACAATTCTATGATGTTTTAGAAATAATGAAAAACCTAAAACTTAAAGACTAACAAAATATATCAGCTGTTATCAAGCCCTACGAAGAACAGAAAAATCAAATTTCTTCTCGTTTTGATCCCATTTAAGACCGATTTCATCTCCAGCCTTTAAGTTTCTTATTTTTACAAAATCCTTGATCCATGTATCATTGAAAACATGACTTCCGTTCGAAGACCATATCTTGAACACAAGAGAACGGAGATTTTGAGTGTCAACATCAAACACCAGAACTTTCACTCCATTTTTTTCAGCTTCAGCTTTGTCCACAAAAGGAACCACCCATCTCTTAGCCAATTCTTTCTTCAACAAAAGCCTGCTATTATTGCCAAGATCACTTGCTGTGAGCACCTTCTTGATCTTCCATGGATCATCACGGCTGGTTGATGAATCAGAACTTGTTCCAACATTAGTTTCTCGTTGAGCAATTTGTATGCAGTTACAAAAGGCTAGAGATAGGTGGAGACAAACATTAGTTTCATATGGATACGAAGACAAATCCAATAATGCTTGTTGTGGCCGTTTCCGTTTGTGTGTTGGACGAGAACAAGAATCAAGTGTAAGATTATCACCGACATTAGTTACATGATAAATGGCATTAGTACTGGAAGATGAAGATGGGGATGATGATGAAACATGAACATTGAACTCACACATTGTATTTTTGGTTGAAATGAACAAGAAGGAGAGGTTAAGTCGGTATTGTAAGTGTAAAACTGATTAACTCTTTATTTATTTATAATAAATATTCAACGACTACTTAACCTAGTTTATCAATCAAATCTTTTTTTCTCACAAATCTTATTATATATTTGTTACATTTTACTATATAAATCTTCTTTTTCCTCACAAACTATGGATGGATCGGTTACTTTCCATTCCTATTTTTCCTTATTTTATGGATTATCAAATCTTACTAAATATCACTAATATTTTACTTCATAAATCTTCTTTATCAAATCATTTTTCGTGTGCATGGATTAGTTAGTTTTCATTATTTTTTTAAAGGATTGAGTTTTTTTATTTAATATCATTTATTATTTTTTGTGAATAATTTTTTTACAATTAAATTTATCAATAATATCAAATCGTATAAAGTATTTTAGTATTGTCTTTTTCATTTTTTTTAAGAAATTAAAAAATGGATTAATAAACACAACTACCATGTAGCAAAAGATGTATCGCATAGGTCTCAAGAGTTTGCAAAAAAACAAAGAGCTTACAATAAAGCATCAAATCATAATCACCTTTGATATCGTTACTGAAAATCCAAACAAAGATAGGGATTATGCCACTTTAAATGAGATTAAAAAATAAACCTATTATCGGACTTAGTCTTTAGCCACCAATAAAAAAGAAATTTAATTCTATTATATGAACAATAGGTGTAACTTTAGAGTTAAATAACCTATTATTCCTTTCTGTCCACAAAATCGAAATAGCAGCGAGCCATGATAAGCGTAAAAATTTACGTCTTGTGAAATTTCCACATAAAGAATTTATAAACTGAATATAGTGATCCTTTAGATGAAAAAGATCTACCCCATCAATATCAATCCAAGACCGAATCAACTACCAAAGTGAGCTGAAGAATTGACAGTGAATGAATAAATGTTGAGCTGACTCCACCAAGCCACACCCAGCAACACATAATTGGTCCTTCGGAGAAATAATTTCACGCTTGACCAAATTAACCTTTGTAGACAACCTGTCACGAAACAATCATCACACGCAGGTTGAAACCTTAGTAGGAACCTGCTTATGCCAAACACCATCCCAAACTGGAACTCTCTATTAACCTGCCTTATTAGTGAGCATATGGTATACATCACTGACAGTATATGTCATACTTTCAGAGAGCACCCACCTCCATTCATCTTGAATATTATCCTGCAAAGAAACATCAAGTAATAACAACCTACAATGATCCTGCAATTCCTTCTCCCATGCTAACAGCCTCCTCACCCCCCTCCACGCCCCTCATCCTCCCCCACTAATAGAAACATATTCGCCACCGACTCCCCTATAAGCTTTGACAGCTGATAAAGACGGTTGGACCTTCATTAGTGCCAATTTCTTCATTAGTTAGTTTTCATTATAACTAATAGAAGTTAGTGCCTTAGGGATTATATGGGATGATTTCTCACAGCAGACGTGGCTTAGGATGTGAGTCTCTTATCTGATATTGAAGCTGAAGCTACTGCTCTGGAAGAAACAATCCAATATGTTATTTCCTTATAGTTATCTCATATTATTTTTTTAAATGATTGTCAAAAGGTTGTCCAGGCTCTTTGTTCTAAGCACCTGGATAGTTCCGAATTTAGTATTATTGTTAAAACTATACAATGTTTATTCATTAAGTGTCAAGCGAATTCGACTGTCCATACGTTAGCTAAGATGGTCAATTCTTAGACTCAACATAGTATCCTGAATATGATACCTCCATGTATTTGAATGAAAATCGTTAAAGAAATTAGAATCAACTAGTGCAATCAAACATGTCAAAGTCAATTATAGATATCCAAAATTATTAATTCTAAGTGTTCCAAACATAAAACCAAAATCTCACCAGTCAATCAATTCTATACATCCAAAATTAGTGAAACCAAATATACATAAGATGTTATAATTGAACTTCTTAGATTAAAAAAAAAACTGGTGGTTAATGCTCTCTCTTTGTTTTGCATTCAAAAACTAAATTTGTTTGTATAATTGAACTGAATTTGAACCTATAAGTAATGTCCTATAATTGAACTGAATTTGAACCTCTAAGTAATGTCCTAGAATTGAACTTCTTAGATTAAAAAGTGGTGGTTAATGCTCTCTCTGTTTTGCATTCAAAAACTATATTTGTTTGTATTATTTTTATGTTCAATCAAATCAAGAATACTGATAGAACACCATTAATGCAATAGCTTAAGATGTTCATTCTTATTTATCTAATTTCAACGTGACTTAAAATGAAAATTATGCAGAAGTTTCTTAGTTGGGTAATATTTTAACAAGCCATGGTCCAATTGAATAATAAGTATACTCGTGATAAAATTAAAACATCCAAGAAAACTCTCATGTTAGACAGCATCTTTGCTTTATATAATAGTACTAGTTCACACTACTGATGTGCAGCATCTAAATCACTCTTCCATTGCAAGATTTTGCTCTGATTGTTGTTGGGAAACAGCCACTTTGATCTTAAGTGGTTCCACCACTTTGACCTTAGGAATAGGAAGCATATGGATGCTCTGTTCCAACTCCCTAGCATCCTCCTTATGAACCTTCAGCTTCTTGCCCTTCATCCTATAGGAGATTTAACAAAATGTCAGAAGAGAACGGAAAGAAAAACAACATGTAATAAATCTGTGTGATATCAATTAAAGTATGAGTTAAAGAATAACCTAATCATGTGGTGTCTCTTTTCCCTTTCGACTCTGATCTTATCAATCTTTGGCATGGCATCGAGGACACTTTCAACAAGATTCCTGTCGTATCTCTCAGGCCTGTTACGCTTCCTCTCAAACTCAAAGGTTGAATCCTAAAACAACAAAGAGTGTAATTAACACACGCGCGCACACACACACGCGCGAGGTTAGGACAACAAGAAACAGGAGTTTCATTTACCTGTGTCATGTCCTTTCCGTGCACCCGCCTATATGCCTTGGTCCATTTCACTTTACGAGGGTTCCTCTTCATTTTAAAGTTCTTGTGGCACTTAGATCTACAAAATCGAAAAATCTACAGCAAGAACAATTTTAAGATATCACAGTTAATAATGAAATTAGGATATCACAGTTGTTGACAAATTTGTTTTCATATGCTTCATTCAAAACCAACAGATTCAACAAGAGCTATAACAATTTCAACAATTAATAGTTAGTTTACCTTTGCATCATTGCGAACAAACTGGATTCCATGTCCAGGGTACACAGTACTAGAACAGAACCAGCATTTCTCCAATCTCATTGTGCCTCCAAACTAAATCAACACTTTCACTACAAAATCAAAAACAGACACACAGTTGTATAAGTTCAATGACCTAACGATAAATTAAAGTAGTATTGATTTTCTTACGGATTGTTGTATCTTAGTTCAAATTCCATTGAATTGAGAGTGATCGGTGATTAATCGTAAACTAATGATAAATTGTGAAGATTGATAGAAAGGATGGAGAAGGAAGATGAACCTGAAGAAGAATGGAAGGAGACAGTGGGGAAGACGATAAACCCAGAGGCGGTGTGGCCGCCACTTCTGTTAGGGTTTCAGAAAGGGTTTTTTAGTTCCGCATCAATATAATACCAAGGGGATGGATTGGCTGAGTTTTTGTTAATTCAGTTAATAATATTCGATCAAACAATTATATAAATAATATATTTTTAGAGAAAAAATATGTTATATATATTTTTTATTATTTTATTTTATTTAATATAATTATCAAAAGAAGAAACAAAAAAAAAGCATCTATTATTATATATTATCAAAAGAAAAAATAAACGAAGGTATAATAGAAAAAATAACTCTAACAATCAATTATCTTGATTGAAGAGTTTTATGGTAAAATAACACTTACAAAGGAATAGAGAGAGTAATAATTAAGGATAATTTTGTAAAGTTGTCACATTTATGACGGAAGGAGTAATGAATAAGCAAATCATTTGCATTCTATTTTTTAGTTGTTATGATTAGGGTGGTAAAATTGACCCGACTCGATGACCATGTCAGTTTTTTCACCACTTCAGTGTTGTGCGAGCTAAGGATTTATGACTACATCTTCTAATGTTTTTGTCTCGTCCATACTATTTTTTTACGAACTTTTGTAGACACGGACATTAACATAAATGTTGTATTTTTAGATTTAGAAGATGTAGTATTTGTCGGTCTGTCCCGCCCTCACTTTAGAGTGGGTGGGCCAATGTTGTAGACCATTGCACCCTCAATCATGTCCTTCATATCCAACTTTTTATTGGGCTTTAGGCGGAGTGAAGGTTGAAGAAGGTTGAAATAAAACCGGAAGTTGGTATCGATTGAAATTGGTGATGAGAAGTATGAAGAAGCGGAGGGAGAAGCTGGATCGAGATTGGCAATTTTTCTGCATAACTCTTTTTTTTTATCAATTTTTAATTTCTTCCCTTTCTATCAATCACCTTTTTCCTTATAACCTCCAAACACCATTACATCTTGTGAAAAGACCAATCCTTGGTGATAGATATTTTGATATATTAAAATAATTAAAAGAACATTAAAAATGAAAAACAAAATAAACAAAATATTTCTCTTATAACCATTTTTTTTATATAACATGAAATTAAACTAAAATATGATTTTAATGGTAAAATAAAGAACACAATTTTTTTATATATTTTTTTCTAAAAACTAAAATGTACTCTAATTTAAAAAAAGGAAAACATATATAATAATTTTTTTTTATATTTTCTTAATAAAGAACAAAAATAACACCTGAAAGGAAAAAATTGATTAAAAAAATGAAATTGAGACAAAAACGACGGAAATGCATTAAAAATATGAATATGTGAATAAAAATAAATTGATATAAATAAATACGAATGAGAAAATTTACGGTAACAACTACCTAAACAAGTTTTAAACAAAGAAGAGATCACATCAACAAACAAAGTGGCCATACAAACTTTTGATGATAAATTATTTCAAATGAGAACCTAAATATGCATTAGGCAAGGCAACAACTCAAGGTAACCACTTAAATCATGACATGATTCAAAGATAGCTCAAAGAGCTCATGTTATCAAGTGTTCAGACTTAGACAACAAACAAAGCAACAAAGATTTAATATTCAATCTACAAGTGGCATACATCAATGCTAAACCTAAACATGCTTCAAAATTGAATCAAAGCAACAATGAGGTGTGAAAGTGAACAACTATGCACACATTTCAAACATTATAGGTCATGCTCACAAGATTCAAACATTAGGGTTTTGGAGCTTAAGCAAAAGCAAACCACAAGTGCACAAACATCTATGACTGTAAGTATCAATCAATCATCATCACTTAGCACACAATGGTAATTTGAATCACACAAGGTATAGACCAAGACAAATCATCAACCACATCTCCAAGTGTTCAATTCAAACATTTCTCAAAGATTGAGAAAGTTCACAAAAGGGTTAATCAAGAATTAGGCCAATAACCAAATAACTATCAACAACTCATGTCATCAAAACAATTGCACAAGTGCACATAAAAAAACATTGCTTACTTCGAGGTAGGCCTTCAGATGTACAAACATTGGCTACTTCGACGTAGGACTTCAGATGTACTCAGCATGCTTCTAACATTCAATCATAGCCTAGAATGAAGCGCGAAAGAGTGATAAAGTTCATATTCAAGTGGTACCTAACGGAGAAAGGTTCTTTGCCTCTTAAACACATGCAAAAGCTCAAGAAAGATATCAGAAGTTTCACCAGTGATAATCAAATTAATTCCCAAGCGCTTAATATCACAAACCAACATGCTATCACAAAATCATGGCAAAAGTAGTAACAACAATTAATCATGAAAAGTCAAGAAAAATAAGGACAAACTCAATTAAATTCTAAAAGAGAAATCCTAAAATCAATTCTAAAATATTCAATAATTTCATCATGTATTTTTATCAACAAAATTATGAGAAGAAATATTAATATGGAAAGAAATTTGAAACTAAAATAGAGGGGGTATGAGCTGAATCCATGTATGTTGCAAGCAAATGAAGCGCAAGGCCCATTAATTCAGTCCAGCTAGATTATTTGTGTCATAGTAATTCAGAAAAAAAGAAAAGTGGTATGGACCTAGGGACTGTAGTGCAAGGCCTAGTCCAACAACACAAATATCCAATTCAAATCTTATTTTTAGCATTTCTTATTATTCAGCAAATAAAAAAATAAACCAAAAAGAAAAATTAAAACAAAGAAAAATATGAAAAACACGTCGTATAGAAATTAGGTTAAGCAATTATGACTTCAGTTTCTACTCAAACACGATGTACTTTATCTTCAACAACAGCAAAGTGGCACGATCCCCTCACCGCCACTGTCTGCCTTGCAATCGCCTCCCTCTGCCTCAATCATGATTGTGCCATGCATTCTGATGCGAAGATGGAGAATCGATGTGTTGTTGATGTTGAAGATGATTTAAGAGTTCTTTGTAGAGAGAGTAGAGTTTTTCTCATGAGTTATCCCTCTGTCCAGAATCGTGTATTTTTCTTAGTTGCTTGTGAAAATCTGGATCTGAAATCGTGTTTTTCTCTCAGTTTGAGATTGTGTTTTCTGTTGCAATTTCCTTCTCTGAGTTTTATGTATATCCTTAATCTGAAATTGTGAAGTCTCTTTTATCTTGCTGCAAAAGTTTCTTACAGATTAAGAAATCTCATCCCTTGAATCACAAAGTCTGTTATGGTAAATGGGGGATTGAGATTGAATCAAATATGATGAGTTGTTATTTTGTTTTCTGATTTAATTCTCTGTGATTTTTATTCATTGCCAACTTTTGTTTATATGTGCAGCAATTTCTTTTTCTACTGCAGGTTACGTTTTTGGTTTTAACTGAAATAATTTTTTGTTCTGTTTTGATTCGTACATGGTTTTTGCAACATGAAGTCATGGGACGATTGAAGCCCGGTTATGGCAACATGAAGATTTGGTGTAGACCTATTTTTTGAGAATGTCTTGGTTGGAATGTTTCAATGGAATTTGTAATAAATATTGATATTCTTGTTAGTGTACTTGGATGTAACTTGATGATGTATAAATGGAAGTAATTTTCAACTTGTTTCCCATGCTCTTGAATTTTGAATGAACTTTGTAAACTTGTGTTGAATTTTTGGATTAAAATCCTGAGTCAAATCATGAGCGAACTTGAAAATGACAACTTGAACCATGATGAATAATGAATTAAGTGAACTCGTGTGAGCTTTCGATTTGAATCAAAATCATGAAACTTGAAAAAAAACTAGAATGACTCTTGAATCCATGAAATCTCACATGAATCTTCCAATCTTTCTTGAATCACATTCTTGAACAAAACCAATGTTTAAGATCTTTGAACCATAACACATATAAGAATGAATCCAATACATGTCATGCTTGATTGATGACCCTTAATCTCAATGGAATCCATAAATACAAGTCTTCTTACATTTGGAGCACCAAAAATCTCATTTAATAAATGAAAGTTTGATGGGATTCTAATCCATATCTCAATCCATAAGGATGTCCTAGCTTGATGATTATCGCAATAACAAATGTCTGGAAGAATCCTTGAAGGTAAGTATAAGACTTGAAGTATGGAGAAACCAAACACGATACCCTAACATATCTTCCATTGATGAATCATAAAAACTTATTCACCAAATATGAGAAACCCTGATCCACTTGCATCTTGAAGTCTCTCAATGAAGTTGTTATACCCCAAAATTTACCCTGTTATCGTGGGATCAAGGCATTTCTATAAGGAATTGACTACTTATCATAGGTGTTTAAAGCTTTACACAAGTAATCTAGTCAGTGAATGAGTGACTTCTTACCATGCCTAATTCCCGTGTATTTTATCATGTCTTGAGTAGTAGAGGGAAGCCAGAGGGTTTCGTATCGATTAGGGATAGTTCGAGTTGAAAGTTCGTTTCGGCGCGACAGACTTCAAAATTTTATAACTCCAGGTCATGGTATCATTGTGAGCTGAAATTTGATCACGGGTTCATATTCCTATTATCTTCACTTTTCTTTTTTGGGTCGGGAGCCAATTATGCGCTGAAGACGGTCAAATGATTTTGTTACTAAGCTTTCGGGTTACTGATCAACAATATTTATGGTGTTCAGAAATTTATAACTCCGATTTGGTATACCATCTTAAGGTGGTTCTGAATTTGTCTCGATGTCCTCTTCAACTTCCATGTTCGGGCCGAAGGCTAATTATTGAAGGAAGGTCTCCGAATACGTGAATCCGTCAGAGTTAAATATTGGAAAATACAGATAAAAACTGGTTGAACCATCGTCTCGGGCGCACTGAAAAATTCATAACTCCCGTCTAGAGCACCGTATGGGCGTGATTTTGGTGCCCAAAATTCTGTCTAGATGTCCTCTTAATATTACCTTTCATGTCTGAGAGCTGATTCTACAAGGAAAGTAGCGGGAATTTTGAGTTTCTGAAGAGATATTTGAGCTGAACCGGAATTCAGTCGAATTGATTTCTGATATCTAAAAATTCATAACTCACTCAATTTTTACCGTATTGAGACGGGTCCAGTGCCAAAATTTCGAAAGTTGAGTTGGCTATGTTCTCTCAGAAAATTCCAAGTTCAAATAGTATCCAAAAGGCCTTTGTTTTTCCCCCAGAGTGCCCGTGACGCGCCAAAAATCCTGAATGCTGAATATTATTTCATCTTGGTCGAAACTTCAAAAACTCATAACTCGGTCAATTTTTATCGGATTGAACCCATCTTTTTACACAAGATCACTGGCTCAGAGATCTACAATTTTTCTTCCAAAGTCGAGACTGGATTCAACTCCAATCAATACCATATGTTTATTGAAGAACGTGCAGAGTTGACACTTGAGCCCAAATTAAGTTTGTCTGAGGCAAAACTTCAAAAAATCATAAATAAACTAAATCACTGTTCATTCAAATGAGCCCGTTCTTTCGGAAACGTGTTACAAATTTTATTATCTTCATTTTCTGTTTTGCGACTGAAATGAAATTCCGTATGGTCGATGACGTGGCACTTTGTGGACATGTCGAGATTACATTGTTAAGGCAAAGCTCAACCCAATTGTGGATCGAAGGCCATTTTTAACTCTATATAAATCAAAAATTCAGATTTTCTCTCATAACTACACAATCCTCACAAACACAAAATCCGTTATCCCCCTCCCTGCCATTTCGCGTGTTTCGTTCCTCCGATTTGCATTCCAATCGTTGTGATCTCTTCATATAATCCTCCTCTTCGATTTTACGGTGGATTTTTCTTGAATTAAGCGTTTTTCTGAATAAGTGATTTTTTGAATAAGTGATTTTTCTTGATTTTGTTGTTAATTGTGGCTTTAATTGTTTAATTGAGACTTAATTAGTGAGAATTGAATTGAATTGTAGAATTAAGTTCCATTTATTTAATTGCTTATAGAAATAAGTGATTATTTGAACTTGAAAAGTGATTTTTAGTTGTAAATTGAAATTGACATATTGTTGTTGTATTGTGATTTAACATTAGGTGTAGTTACACTAATTGTGAATTGAATTATGGACATAAAGTTGTAGGTAGAAACCTCGATCATAGTCTTAAAGACTTAGTGCAAATTTAGGTGTTTGATTAAATGTTTAGGTGAATAAAACTTGACATTAAAAAAATGTAGAATTTGCAATTTAGCATAACAATGTTCATTAGAAGTGGAATATGATAGATTTTATTATAATTTTGTCAATAGATTGTGCTGACATTTTATATTCCCTTAGAGTGTAGGATTATACCATTCTTGATGCACATAACTAGTGTAGTTGTTTAGTGTTTGTCAACATTTGTTAAAATCAACTTCTAATTGAGTTTTTAGTTTTGTTTTGTGTTGTTTCATGAGACTTTTCTAATTAATTCAATTGAGTTTTTGTTGATGTTTTGTGTTGTTACATGAAACTCTAATGTGGTGATCTTGAATTTGTCGATTCTTGTTGCATTTTGCATGTTGAGATGCTACTAACCTATGCTTGTTTTTCACATTTTTGCTTAAGTACCGAGTTTTGACATAACATGAAATGTTTGTAATTTTTGTGTTGATATTTGTTTGTTCACTAACATAGGCTATTTCTAAAGAGTTGTGACAATTTCCACATGGCTTAAAGCAATTTACAAACCTCTTTTGACATATAAAGCTTGAGTTTAGTGGAAAATGTGACAACTCTCAAACTTTGTCAACTCTTGACATAATCTCAAATGTGCTCCAATTTCTTAACCGTGTTGAGTTTTTAAGCATATGATTAGCAAAAATTGACTTTCTTGATGTTTTCGGATCTGTTTGTGTACTTACTTTCCTGTTTTAGACACTTTATTTTTCTGTTTTTGCTATTGTCAAATCTTGAAAACGGCCTAAAAGTCCTACTTCCAGGCCGATTTAATTAAAACCAAGTGCATTTTTTAGTTCGTTGATGTGTTTGCAATCAACCATGCAATTTTCGTTTAATTTCGAATAACTAATTTTTGACGTATTTTTCCCGATTTTTGCGGATTTTGATTTCGATTGATGTGTACCGAGTTGCTTTAACTTTCATTTGGCTTGTATTCATGTTTAATTGGCAATAATGTACTAATGCACTTGAGTTTGTTTGGTTCATATTCATTTCGTGCTTACTTTGTTAAATGGACATAGTTACTTTTACCATTTTGTGTCATTTTCCTATTTGTATTGAGCCTATGTCACAACTTTTAGTTGCACTCTTGTTATCTCTAAATTATGTGTTGAGTTTGTCCAAGGATTCCATCAAGGTATTTTGATGTCGCTTGCTCGCTCGGTATTCCACTTTATTTGTGGGATACCATATTTCTTATATCGGATTCTCGGTGTTCCACTTTATGTGTGAGACACCACTTTTGTTCATCACTTTTCCCTTGTTCAAGGTGTATAGCATGTATTGTGCCATTTCTTTTCTTGCAGGATATTTGCTAGGTCTTGTCTGATACGTACAAATCGCTTTTCTTTGATGCCTTGACGCATATTCTGTCATTGTGTGTTGTTGATTCTAGCTTGCGGTGCATTCCGAGTTCCTTACACTCGTTGAGCTTGTTATTACGGATTTGTTATCCATTTGGTATATCTTCAAACCAATTTATATAATATTGCATTTACCGCTTTCTAGAAATAAGAGTAGACGCTCGAAGTATCTGTTTAAAGTCTTGTGGACGCACCATTTCCTGTTTTCTAATTGTGTTTGTTTAAAGCCCTATCTTTGAATAGGCAATACCGCACATGTGTTTACTTTCTTGTACAATTTGATTCATTCTCGATATGAGTTCGATCTTTTTTTTATTTATGTTTTGGTCTTGGATTCATTCTCTATATGAGTTTGTTCCAAGTGAATTCAGTTGGTTCATGCTAGTATGAGTGTGTTCCTTTTGCATTTACCGTTTACAATTTTGGAAAAGTTATAAAAAGACATATAAGATATTATGCACCTAGTTCACCTTCTGTATGGAGTGTTCCTCAGAGGCTTTGGTCTTGGTTCATTCTCGATATAAGTTTGTCCCATTTACATTTCACACTTTACATTTTGTCAAAAGAATCACCAAAAAAAGAAGATATATTCAGATATTATTCACCTGGTTCACTTCTGTATGGGTTGT